TAGCATACACAATGCTATGAAATGAAATGGCATACACAATGCAATATGGACTTACACCAACATGAGTGGACCTCAGCCGCACTCACATCAATGGCCATTAGATGAAAATGAGACACTCGAGATGCGTGCACACATGCACGCAAACCGAGGACCGAACCTAAGGCACAACATGCAACTCTAACTAGGCATGACAAGGCATGAAATATGGTATGCAAACATGCAAATTTCAGCACTGAAATATGATGCAAAACAGCCCCGAAACATGGAAACATGGCATCCGATGCATGGAATGAACCCGAAACACAAAATTAGGTACATGGAATGACCTATGGCTATGCAAAACATGCATTATTTGAACATGAAGTGTGAAGAAAGAATCAAGGCAGTCCCAAAAAAAGCATATTTACAGTTTTAAGCAAGGTCAAAAAGTGAACACAAATAGGGCTAAGTTAACATGCAAAAATGGCCCCAAAAGAGAGCTAATGAAGCAAGTAGAAGATGCTGGCCCTAAATGGCCAAGATCCCTTCAACAAAGTTGAAGAAAGGCTCAAAATGAAGCACTTTACAATTTACAACAAGCCACGAAAACAAACACAAGTATGGATAAACTATTGTGCAAGAAATGGGCCAAAAGGGAGACAAAGAAGCAAGTGATGGTTTCTGGCCTCAAACAGAGGAGGGCCCTTCAACAAAGTTGAAGAGGGGCCCAAAACATGGTGTTTTACAGTGAGTGACCAAACCCAAAACAGTGCACATGCAAGCTTAAAATACTATGCAAAATAAGGCCTAAAAAGAGGTTTAAACACAAAGAGCAAGAAGGGAGCTTCAAAAAGCAAAAGTCCCTTGATAAAACATGAAGAGGTGGTCAAAATAAGGCTATTTACAGTTCGGACCAAAGTCCAAAAATACAAGCACAAGGGGGTAACAAAACATGCAAAAATAAGGCCAAAAGAGGGATAAAGAGGCAAGTGACAAAAGGAAGCCTCAAACAGTGAAGAGCCCTCCAACAATGTTGAATAAGGGCTCAAAATAAGCCACTTTACAGTTTATAACCAAGCTCAAAACAGTTTACAAATAGGCCTAAATCTTTGACAACTCTTGGACCAAGTTTGGTGGCTCCTTAGCTCTGGAAAACAGCTCCAAGTGGCTGGAATAGATGGTTGTGGTGCGGTGCTAGGTGGTGGTGTAGAAATGGTGTAGGGTTTGGAAGGTTTTGAGGGTTGGAGTGTAGAGAGAGAGAGATACAATGTAGGAGCTCCAAACCAAAATTTCTAACCCTTCAAAAGGGAGCTGGAGGGCCTGGATATATAGGCAAGAGAAGGGGGAAAAAAAGGGGGGAATGGAATTCAAATTTCCCCCCAAAAGTTGGCCCCCCCGGATACAAAATCTGGGAGGGAACAGAGGGCATTTCTGTAAAGTACTTGGAGAGAGGATCATGGCCGGCCGGTTTCCTAGGGTTTAGGTGGCCAGTCGGCCTTCCCCATGGCCGGTCGGCCAAGGGTCAAAAGGGTCAATGAAGATTAATGGCCTGCCATGCCAAAAGGAGGGCCTCTCATGTGTGCACAACACAACCATGTGGTCAAAAACTGGAGAAAATGAACCATGAGAGAGAAAAGGCCACTTTGAGGAGGGGTTCAAAAGGGTCACACACAATTACTGGCCGGCCATATGATATTGGTGGCCTCCCAGGTGTGTACAACACAAATATGTGGTTTAGGGCTGGAAAAAGTGGCCTTAGGGTGGTCAACATTGGCTTTCAAGTGAGAAAAACGAGCGACGGAGAGCGATGGAGAAATAAAACTGGTTGTCAGAACAATTACTAGCCTCCCACCCTTCTACGACCTTCTTAGCAGTGAAAATAATGTCTCCACCAAAAATGAGCCCAGATCGATGCAAAATGGAGGTTCGGGGGCCGAAACGCGCAGCCCGAGGCCCCGAAAACTGACTGTTAGGCACCGGAAGTGGTGTTCGACCACGAAGTTGGTTTTTCGGACCGCAGTGTCCTTCAAAAGGGAGTAAATAAGATGCATGCCAAAAACCGGAGCAAACGGAGGTGGTTAAGCGGTCCCGAACCGAGGCACATGGCCAACGGCTCCGAAAAACCGAAAACCGGACTCCAAACGGGCAAAATGTCCTACGACCACGAAACGTAGCCTACGGCTACTGAGAGATGATCTACGAGACCTCTCCCTCCCTTCGGGAAGAAAAAAACAAAGAAAACAGAGCCTGGTTCGCAAACCGAGACAAAGCATGAAAGAGTCCGGAAGTCCGGAGGCAAGGCTCGCAGCCGAGACTCTGAAACCTCTGAACGAGCACGATATGCAACATCACCAAGCGCTCAATCGGTGACGTCTGAGTCTTAAGGTCGGTCAAAAATGAGGTGTCTACACCAGGTCTCAGGATTTCCCTCGCCAACTCCAATAAATATCTTGTCAGGTGTAGGGACGGAATCTGACGGACTATTATCACTGATGACAAAAAAACAACACGTGGTGGACCACAGCTTCGTCCTTAGCATCCTGTCCCAATTGAACATTACCAATGAATTTGATACCCTTAACCACGATCTTGTCTTATTGACGGTCAGATCTCTTATTACCCAACTCAATACCATTAAGTAATCTCGCCACGCCTGAGCTCCTAATTACTATTTGAATCATAAATGGCCAAACAAGAGATGGACACTTTGGTGTTGGAATTGGAATCCCAATTTATGGGAATAACATGGTGGTTTTTCTGCCCTCTTTTGTGCCCAACCCTGAAAGCCTTCTATTTGAACTGCAATTACTGGTTTAAATTTCTAGTGTTTTGCTATTGTGGTTATGACCACATGATAAACATGCAAAATTTAAGGGGAATTTTTTTTTTAATATTCTTACATAATTATCTACTCAAAAGATGTGTTGGTGACAATTTTATTAAAATATATATATATATCATAGATTCTTTATTTTAAAATGATTTCAATGGCATCATTCCCATAATCAAAGTTCCAATTTTTTTTTTTTTTTGGTATAACATTACTCAATCAGAAAACCAAATGAGTTTGCCCCCATGAATAATTCAATACAAACTATCAATCAAAACGAATTTGCAACAAGAATAGCTTGCCTGCACCTTGCCTTGGCTTGTTCAATCCTCTCATTCAAAGTCTCTTCTTTCACAGCAGCTTTAACCATAGCCAAGTCCATTTCCATCAGCTTCAATACTCTAAACAGCTCAGTCACCATTCTCTCATCCACTTCTCCCTCCTCTCTCAACACCTCTGCTTCTTCTCTAGCTCTCTCTGCCACAATCTCTCCCGCTTTCGCCAAAAGCGCCACCGACCCAAACTCTCTCTCCATTAATCCCACCAACTTCTCCAAAAAATCCATTATCACATACCCTTTTGGCTTCTCCAATGGAATCTCCTTGGTTCTCTTCCATCCTATCTCAAAGTTTGGTGGCTCAGGCTTCACTAGACTGGTTCTGGACCTCCGGTCTCGTGTTATTTCGGATCTTCTTCGCTTTTCGATTGGAAACTTATCTGGGCTGATGGTGGTTTCAGAGCCTGGAGGTGGGGTTGGGAAGTCTGGTTCAGGAGCTGAGTCATTTGAAGAAGTACATTTGATGGTCAGGTGGTGTTTTTTGAGGTGTGGGAGATTGTGGATGTGGAATTGTGAGGGATTTGAAGAGGGATGGAGTTGATGAAGAGAGTGTGGATGGGGGAGGAATTGAATCACTGCTGAGGCCATGATAGTGTGGAAACTTGCTCGAGTAGAAGAAGATAAGGTTGTTTCTTGTTTGTCTGTATTGGTGATAGTTCTTTGGAATTTAGATAAAAAGAGAGCAAAGAGTCAATGGACAAAATATCTTTCATGACTAGAAGTTTAATTGTACTGGTCTCTGTTTTGAGCTCATCAAGCTACTTCAGATCCAACAAATTCTAGTAATCATGACATTTAAAAACTGAGTTTAATTTTTTTTTTTTTTTTACAATAATTTTGTTATGCTTTTTATTACAAGAAGACACAACAGCAAAATACATAATTAAACTTCGAGTTAAAATTGAAAATAAAATGACATTAAAATCACACCTTAAAACAACATAATTTTGCTTTAGCTTTAAACATGGGTCATTGCAAGGAGATTCATTGCTCAAAATTACAATCCTTTAAAATATACTACCACTTCCTAGAGGAGGTATCTTTTGTCCAGGAGCTCCTTGTCCTCCAGTTCCATGACATCTCTTTACAAGACGATGAGTAAATTAGTGGAGAGAGGCCTCGAAACAGGGAGACAAAAGAGACCCAATCTCTAACCTGATTATATAGCAAAGAGAGACCTTGAAATAAGGGATATGGGAGATCCAGACACAGAATTTCTTCCTACCCACTTCCCGAATTTAAGATCCTGTCTTGTGTCTTGAATTTCATGACCCCTTATTTCAAGGCACCTCCCTACCATAAGATCCGTCTCTCTAACCTAATTATCTGGTAAAGAGGAGCTTCGATACAAGAGGAGAGTGTAGATCTGGATAGAGGATTCCAACCCACTTCTTGAAGCTTCACCGTGGAAGCCTCACTGATGCTTTGAAAAGAAAGAACACCACCAAATAGGCAAACCCATTGCATCATCATGCACGAGCTAAGACCACATAAATGAGGAAGTAGTAAAAAGTAACCTATATGAAGCAAGCAGGGGCTCAGTAACAGTGAGGTACAAGGACAGATGAGCACAAAATAGTTTTCTTGACCAAGAACCATGAGATCACAACAGAATATGAAGGGCTGAGATCAAATTTTGTTACACTTTTGGTATGATCTAATTATATACTGTAATGAAGAAATGAATTGTCACCAAGAAACTATCGGGTCAAGCATGAGACGTATTTCTTTATGATCATAAATTTGAATACAAAAGTGAAATACAAAATTTTTAATTGGATCTATGATTCTCTTGAATTCGCCTAATTGATACACACACTCACGTATTGTATCTATATATATATACAAAAAAAAAAATCCAAACTATATGATTGGGATACTTTTATCCCAAAATTGTACAGAAACCAAAGACAAGGAAGGGCCAATCAGATTTGAGTCCGAAGTCGTGTCAATAAACGCTGCATACTCTCAAGTTTCTGAGTGAGTTGTACAATTTCAGCAAGATGCTGTACGGAAGATTCTGAACTGCATAATTCGGCAGTAAGAGCTGAACATTTTGCCTGAGAATCCAAGACTAACTCTTCAAGTGAAGCCACTGTCAACAGCAAGGTTGAAGGCTGCTGGCTTTCACCAGTGATACTTGACTGTGGACTGAACCCACTACTGTCAATGCTACTACCATTACTAAGCTTCTCCGGGGTGAAAATCTTGTCAAAGCTTTCACTTCCTGCAAAGTCATGGAGCACATAAAGTTCTAATACCTAGCAAAGAAGTCAGACTCCAAGAAGATCTTAATCATTCCAGACAAGTATAACTCTCAGCAACGAGAAAAATGAGAAGGTCAAAGCTTAAGAAGGTAAGGTTTTATGCTCAAATAGGCTACAGAGAATAATCACCCATCTCCGATAATGCTCATCTTTTTTAGAGCATGAACCAGTGTTTAAAACAGTACAATTTTGAAATCCGAGAGATCTGAATTACAAGGTTCTCAGTGGTACAGATGACAAATCTTAAACTTCTCAAAGGATAATGCAATTAAGGCATCTTATGCTCAAATAGGGTACAAAGCAGAATCACCTATCTCCATTTCCAGCATTTTTTTTTTATATATTTTATTGTATTTACCAGTGTTTCATGCAGTTAAAATATGAAATTAGAGGTATCTGAATTACAAGCATCTTGCTACAATCCTATCCAATTTTTATGTTATGAGCCTATTTCAACCCTGAACCTTTTGTTTCCATTTTTTTTTTTTTTAATTTTCCTTGGTATCTGACTGAATGAAGTCTTCAGTCTGACCTCTAACAGGACTGCTCCTTGACTTTCTAAGGTCTGGAATATAGTGATAGATTCAGGTCATTTCAGGTCCAGACCAAATTTAATCTAATTTGATCCCTTTGAATTTCTTAATTTCCTATTTTCACACAAATTTCGCTTTCCTACATTGCTTTCCGGAGCTCATCTAAGTGATGTGCTGGGATATTGACCATATCTATATAAGTGATGTGCTGGGATATTGACCATATCTATATTCCCAATTCTGACAAATTTGTCAAGTCAATTGGCAGTTGTCAAACTTCAGAACATTCAGTCCCCAAAAATATCAAACATCCAGTTAGGTCCGGTATTCCGTGATGTGAATGATAATAGGACTATATGATTCCAATAGCTTATATTACAGAGGATCATACCAAGATTGTTTAGTTGATTGATGGCTGCCTGACCAATGGACCCCTCCAGCTTAAGTAACCGCAGGACACCAGCAGTTATGCGGCCCATTGAGTCAACTTCAGACTTGCACAGAGAAGCAAGGTGCTGCAACTCATCCTTCGTCACGATTGCCTCAATCTACCAAAAAATAAATAAATCATCACTATATGGACTCTACTCATAAAAGACATCAATCAAATGGTTACAATTTAAAATCTCGCTACCGGCTGTTTTACAGAAAATTTGAAGTTTTCCACCACCCATTTCACCATGTCTCCGTCCACATTGTCTTCAGATATCACTATGCCAAATTCCAGATTTATCCCACCATATACCTCAACAGCCTCCTTGGGCCCTTCCAGATGTAATCCATTCTGAAGGATATGCTTTTGTGACTGGGGCTTCAAGGTCTGCAAACCTTCCACACCAACCTACAAGCAAGAATTCTTTCCACAGTAAATTTAACGCAATGCAGAAAAATGGGAAATAATAAGGCTATTAGGAAATACTCATAAAATAACAGCCAATTACAGTGTAACAGAATCAAATCTAGTGCCTAAAGCACCAACACAACAGTACAACCCAGGCCCAAACCAATATATTCAACAGAGACCCAACTAAATAATCAAAACTCTTAAAGCAACACTGGCAACCCATACACAACCAATACTAAACTTCTCCACACTAAGCCATAGTATCTGAACTTTTTTAACTTCAGCTGTGCTGAGTATGGTCAGCTGATGATGTGAAAAGGTTGGTATTGCATCCATAGCTTCATGGTCCAATCACAATGTTTCAACTCCATCCAATCGGAACAGGAATCAGTTCCCTATTTCATCCTAGAGCCATGTAGATGTCAGTTGAAAACCAAACCATAGTTTGGACACAAGTTGTGATGGAAACTAACCTACAGTCCAGATTGAGTGATTGGGGTGGGGCAGGAAAATAGCTTCCCTCTTGTTATAAAGTAACCCACCCACTGAGAACAAACTTCACTAAACACGCCATCCTATCATTGCAGCTATAGTATGCTAAAACATATGCTAGGCCACAGACTATCCCAGTCAAACAATCCCAACAAAATGGTATAGAAATAGTTTCTCATGTAAAAGGTATTCCATGGAAGTAATCCACAAAAAAATGTTCAATAAAGTTGGTTCAAATTCAATTCTGCATGCATGTTCTATTGAATATGTAAGATCAATTTTATATCTAGAAAAATTCATATAGCCCAAAGGAAAATATGAAAAACTTTCTCACTGTTATCAATTCGACAGGATATTTCTGTGGTCGAAATGATTTTTCTTTGCCATTCACTGCATGCTTTGGGCTACTTTTTGCTTTCACTAGCAAACTCTGGAAAGTTGTGTGCCAACACCTCTCTTCCCTGCCAAGATCATTATGATTTTGTAACAAACACTCTTCTTCATTGTTCTGTGCACCTTCAAGGGCAAATAACCAATCTTTCAATTCTACAGATAAGTCCACATCATCAGGTGTACCCAAGTGCAAGAAAGCACTGTCATTCCCATCTCCTGAAGTTCCGTCTGAGAGAAAAGGGAAAGAAAATTGGGGGATTCAAGATAAAACAGTGAGACAAAAATGATGGAAAAAGTAATACGATACGACTAAAAAAAAAAACTGACTTGGTTTATATATATGTATACTGTATATATGTATATAAAGAGCTTACTGTCCATTCTATCTTGGAGCTCATCTGCAATAAGAGGTGATGCTTTGAAAAGTTTCGACAAAGGCCCTGCAGATAAGTTTTCTAACCCTTTAGAGAGCCGCTCCCCAGGACCACCATCTGGCCCCAATATTCCAAATCGATGTAAGAGGGCTTCGGTATAATTCATTCCTCCCCCAAGTCGAACACCAGAAATACAAGCTGACAAAGTCAATCTATGGCACTCCATATCCCGTGTGCTGTATGGAATCATATGCGCCATGCTTATGTCCAAAAAAGGAATTGAAGGAGTGTTACCATTTGATTGACATTTCAGTCTCTTTTGCACCCAAAAGACAGTTCTCAGCTGACGACATCCATTCCCGACAATTGAAAGACCATTTTCAAGAGTAGGTAATGGAATACCATTCTCATGTGCCAAATTTCCGTCAGCATCTGCACAGTCCACCTCAACACTCTCCCAGCGTAAATTGGATGAAATAACTATGGCACCGCCAAGGGTTCTATGAGTAACTTTGATGAATAGATCTTCTCCAAGAAACTGAACCAGCGGCATTCCCTGAAGAACTGCAGAAGAAGATTCCAGAAATCTTAGCTGGAGTTTCTTCACTGCCAAGCTTACAGCAGAATCACTAGGAACCTTTTCCAATAGGCTTCCACCTACTGATTCATTTCTAATTTTCTTCATTCGGTTACTTTTTCCAATTATGGCTATCTTTTCACTGACCCTACCGAAGTAGGCATAGAGATCCAGAACAAAAAACAACTGTTCAACTGAAGTGTTTGACAAATATTGTTGACAAGCAACCCCAACTCTGATCAATCCTCCGGGAGGAGGAATGATTAATAATGGACTGCCATCTGCAGTTGCCATAGCCCCCTCAACACGAGCATCTTTCAGCTCAACACACCTCCAGCAACCTGAAGATGTGTTAAGAGAACTCAGAAGTCCAGTTGAGTCATTACGTGTTTCTAGAGACAAACTAATAAGAGAGGCTCCAGCAGTCCATTTCTTCTGGCTAGAATCAATTGGTTGATCTTCCCAGAGACAAAAGCAAGCAGGATCCTTCTCCAGGTTCAGTAGCTTGAGTTTTAAGGAAGGTGACTCTGAGAAAAACAAATCCTCAACATGAAGCCTTGCTCCAGCAAAAGAGCTCTGAAAATTTGGTTCGCTATTGGCTGTAGAATAGATTGAGTTTCCCGTATCCAGAGGAACAGTGATATCTAATCCTTTGAGATTGAATTTGAGGGAGTTAACTGAGAAATCAGGTAAAATATCTCCACGATTAACCACAATTCCATCAGCTAACAGGGAAGCAATCTTCAGACAGGATTCTTCCTGAAGATGAATCTGAACAAGGAAAGCGAACATAATGTTTAAAACTAAAGCTATCAGAACAGATGAATGTTAAGAGATCTGTCACTGAAATAACAGATGCATACCATAAGAGGCTGACAATCAACAACCGTTTGTGAAGCAAAAGATGGTGGTGCTGGGGAGGGCTGGACCTGAAGAGAATGGAGGCATATCAGAGGAACACCTTCATTTATTTGCCACAGCTGGTCTCCCAATGGATATATTGGAGGACAAAAGCTCTTACCTGTTCAAAAAACAGAAGAAAGAGATGAAATTTAATGACATATATCAAGTTATGCCAGATTAATAGCCATAACTGGATTTCTTCCAGAATAATGAACATATCAAATAATACCAAACTCTGGAATATGCAGACAACTTTCTGTAGCGGCCTGCATTGATGGTTGCACTAAGGTGCATGGAGGGCGTGAAAAGGTATCCCTGCATTTTAACCATCCACTTATAGATTAAACATCGGTTTCATAATGGTCTGACCTTAAAATAAATAATTACACCAAAAATTAGGATACACTCTGGAAAAATAAAACTTCCATCGAAGGGAAGCAAGAAAGGCTTTCATAAAAATTATTGTAAAACCAATCACATGAAATTTAACAGATAATGCAATTTGTATACTCTCAGTTTGCTCACAGTATGCCATGTTGCGTCTTAGATGCCAACAGTAGAAGATAAAAATTATTTCCGAAACTTCATTCATTAAAGGTATGTAATACTGAATAATTGATGCATCAAATTGGTGAAATGAAGAAATTCTTGACCTCTTAATGTAATGCAAAATATATGAATTGCTATTATGAAACATCTGAAGCTGATGAGATGTCATAGTTATGCAACATATAACATCATTTACAATTTGAAACATTCAAACAGTACCAATGAATGGAATCACATATATATATATATATGAGCTAGAAGTACCCCATATTGGAGGTAGAACTACATAAAATTATTGATTAAAAATTGAAAAAAAAGGGGATAAAAACTATTTGCTAGCAATAAATCTATAACAAAGTGACATACAATGAGTATACCTTAAAAACAGTCCGCCTATCCTCACCTGTGTCAAGCATCTTGCATTGTCTCCATCAGAAACACTTGCCTGCAAAAAGCATAAGATAACATGTGATGTTGAACCACCTATTGAGAAGGGCTTTGCAATGCATAAAAACTACAAATAACAGCAAAAATGAACATGGCATGGCATGCAGGGCCTGTGGAAATGTGCAGAGAGATACCCGAGAAAAGAAAAGCGACTGCATTAAAAGTTCAAGCCGGAACTCTGCAAGTAAAATTAATTATTAGAAAAAGGTTTCAATAATCAAATATATCACCTGCAAAAAAAATCTTAAAAACTAATAAAGAGAGAAATAAAAAAACCACTACATATTGCAAGAGGGAGGAAAAACTAACCAGAATCTTTGATGCAAAGAAATATGTGGTCCACAATAACAGAGACTAGGGAACGTCCTGCTGCTTCTGTGGAACGCTGCAAGTGTTCACACACATGTGCGTGTGAGAGAGAGAGAGAGAGAGAGAGAACTCAGTTACTATTTGTCCACAGCTAGTTAACAAGATAGTATTAAGTCTTACAAAGCACAATAACAACAGCACTTTAAAACCTGCTGAGCATTTGGATTCAAATCTCCTCTATTTAGACATACGTAAAATCCCGTAAAGAAGCGGAGAAGAGCACGCAATCCTGTTCACATTTTGGTAACTTAAGACCTAGCTACTCACAACACTAAACAACTGATAATCCTGAAAAACGCGACATCAAAATAAAACAAAAAACATTTAACTAACCTGGTTCACTTAAAGTGGGGCAAACAGCTTCAGGGATATGTAACTGAACCTCAAGCCCCAGTGGACTATTTAGTTCTGTCCTCTGTACTGTGATCTGATCATAATTATGAAACGGAGCTAAGAAACTACTAAAAAATACAGCTCAATATAAATAAAGACAATGTTGCCTAGCATAAAATTGCTCTCTAGCAAAAAGCAAAGTCCAATAAGAATCAACTTGATTTGTCAAATTTGCATTACATAAGCCTGTCCTGATATTCCTTCGATAAATCGCTCTCCACCAAAAAAAACACGCTTTGCCCCATCATCATCTTTCTTGTTGGATCCCTCTCGAGAAGACGCAAAATGAACATCAGCAAACATGTCCGGATGAGGCAGAAGGTCGACAGATAGAGATTCCCATTCAAGTTTCTGTCAAAAATAAAAAATAAAAAAAGCCCCATTACTTGTATAGATCTGAGCAATACAACAAGTCTGTCATTAGAGAATAACAAAAGGCTAAAAATTAATGCTAAAAGAGATAAAATCAAGCAAAAAATGTTATAATTCAGTTCAAACAGGTTTTTTTAAAAAAACACAATTAAATTAACATGCTGGCACAGTTACCTTGAATAAATAAATGAACTTTTTATTATTGGAAAAGTCCCTCGCTTCCTTCAGATTGACTACCTGTTACAGAAGAATGTTTGAATGAGCAATTTTTTTGGTAAGCAGCTAAAACTAAGTGTACAACAAATTTCAGAATGTTACCTGCCAACTTTCATTAGTAGTGTAGAGCAAAAGGTTGCGGATGGTAATAGATGCCATTGGTGATGTCCTGGTTAGACCAAAAGTTTTAAAATAAATAAACAAAGTCTGACGGCAAAATGTCCATAAGGAGCTTCAGAGCAAAAGATGAAAAATTGTCTGTGACTATCAGAACTGATTTCCATCACCACAAAAGTTAAGACTAGGACTTACTGCAATATTGATTGAGTGCTGTACAGACAATTTAAGAAGGGGGGGGGGGGGGGGGGGGGGGGATTTTACAACTTACAGGAAAATTAATGCTAAAAATATTATTGAAGAACAAATTAGCATGTTGTAGAGAAAAATTTTGTATCAAAGCCCATAAGTAGCATTAGCAGCTGAATGTTCTTAGCATATCAAGCTTGGAGATAATTTAAAATGTTGACATTGTAATTCTAGTAAAATGGTTCAAGTGGCATAATATGATTGATCATAAGTTATTCCTTTATAGTTGAGCATTTATATCAGATACGGAAACATGACACTCATACTTAACAAACTTGTACATATCAACCAAGCAAATCTCTATTTGGAGACAATTAGAACTGTCAATTCATCAACCAAATGTGATTTGTGTCACTAGACGTTTAGATATAACAAATCAACAAGCTGAGGGCCTTCAGGCAATGGAAACTTACCAAGTTGCTCCTCCTTTCTGTCGAGCACCCCCATGAGTTTCAAGAAGAAGATTGACAGTACGCACTTCTACAGTCATTCCATCTGAAATCTGATAGTTATAAAAGGTCAAACAGCACATTTCATAAATCAAAGAAGGGCCGCTAGAAGCCGATATAAAAGGAACTCTAAAAATATGTCTCGCCTTTGTTATAATAATAGTGTCTGAGCTAATACAAGTTCTAGGCACAACAAGATGGTAAGCAAGGGTGAGGCGACATGCATAGAATCACAAAGCGCAGATCTTAAGCCCATCCTTTAAACAACTACACCCAATTAACTCCCCTAAATGCCAAATAGTGAAAATCAACCGCATGTTATAGAAACTAACCTTGTCGGCAAATCCATAACCACTTCCCTTTCCAGGGCTGGGGAATGACTGTGCACTGCAAGCAGATTCGAAAACAAAATTCATTAAACCTTGCCAGAAAACTATAATTCTAACACCATAACCTTAAACACAACATTAAGCGGAAGAAGACTGGCATTACCTACTTGTGTTCTTACATGCATCCATATCATCATTCTCCTCCAGAACCAAATCGAGCCTATCAATTTGCACAACAATGGGCTCTATTTGTACATTACTTACAGAGGGAAGCTTCACAATTCACATCAATTAAACTCTATAAGAAAACATCATCCAGAAATAAACATAACACAGGGCAGCTTGTTTTCAAAATAATACTCAAAATTTTATATAATCATTGATCAAAAAAAAAAAAATATTATTATTATAGTACAGCTAGGTAAGTAAGATGAGATTAAGAAATTACTAACCATAATCTCTAATTTTCCGACCTTCGCTGTTGTGACATTCAGTGCGGGAGGCAATCCGAGACTGGCGTGCAAAGCATCACCATTGATATCTACCAAATTCCAAAGAAATCACATAAAATTCGAAACCAAATCTCACTTCAATCACTCATATAACAACATTAAGCCCTAGAATTTCACTAATTGAATGCAATCAGAGCAAAATTTTACCTAAATTGGAGAGTTGGACGGTACGGCCCTGCAATTTGAACTGATCTCTGGTGAATGATTTGAGCCAGTACTTAAGCGTGTACTCTAATGCTCGTGCCAGTATCGACTCCATTCGGAATTCTCACCTCCGAAGAAACTTCCGGAGAGAGTCGAGTGTTGTAGAATCTTCTAGATCTAGTGGTCGCGTAGAAAGGAAGCGGTGCAGAAAAAAACCTAGTTCAGGTCTGCGGCGGAGGCGGCGGTGGTGTCACCGGAATACCACTAATCACCAGATCGTGGTGGTGGTTCGTTTTCTAGGAGTGGCGACGTGTGGTGGGGAGGGGAATTTCAGAATACGGAGGGGCGGGTGTAGGTTTACACGTGCGAAAACGGAGGTGTTGTATACGGTCTTTGTAGGGGTGAGCATGGTCCCATGGGGTTCAATTCGGAACCAATCCGTGGATTACGGATTTTTAATTCTTCAATCCGGAACCGAACCACGGATTCAAAAAACCAATCCAAACCTATCGGATTGGACTGGACTGGATCGGATTACGGATTTCACGGATTCCTTGCTCAGCCCTAAGTGTTTGGTTGTGTTTTAACTAAGTGCGGCACGTGCGAGGAGGGGACTGGATCCCAGTGCGACGCCACTGCATTAATGTATGCTTTCGGTGGCGCCTAATCTTTTATAAGTCCTGCAACGTGATGTTAATTATTTCCATTTGTTTTGACAGGTAGAAGAGTGATTGAAATTGAGATGGAGGTAAAATATATTAACAGTGTATTAGTGTTTTGTTTGTGTTAGGTATGAATTGTGTTTATAATTATTTGTATGTGTGTAAATTGTGATTTTTAAATGTTTTATTTTATTTTATTTTTTTTTGCACACAGAAAAAGAAATATAATAAATATAGTATAAGTCCTGCAACGTGATGTTAATTATTTCCATTTGTTTTGACAGGTAGAAGAGTGATTGAAATTGAGATGGAGGTAAAATATATTAATAGTGTATTAGTGTTTTGTTTGTGTTAGGTATGAATTGTGTTTATAATTATTTGTATGTGTGTAAATTATGATTTTTAAATGTTTTATTTTATTTTATTTTTTTTTGCATATAGAAAAAGAAATATAATAAATATAGTATATCTTCAATTAATTATTTTATGTTTGTTTTTATTTAAAATTTAAAAATAATGTATGGAAAAAATTTATAACTAAATTAAAAAAATAATTATTCCTATCAACATTTTTTATGTCTATATAAATACTTAAAAAAATAAATTTGAAAAAAGGTAGTCAATATAATATTATACATTAAGTAAAAAAAATGTGGTTAGCAATTATGCTTATAAATTTACTATAGTTTTAATTTCAAATTTAAAAAAATATATATTTTAAAAGTATTTTATTTAGTACCAAATATAATTTTTTTAGCAAAAATGAAAGTTATAAAATTTTGTTGCAAATTTTTAAATGTCTATAGTTAACATTCTATTCTACTTGTTTGTTTGCTTTAGAAGTTTTGATCTTTGATCTTTACTCCACATTTATCGTATTGTTTTACTTATTTTCTTCTTCTTGCTTGATTTTTCGCATTATACTTTTTTCATAGTGCATATCCGAATGCATTAATGGAAACATCATACACTTAAAATGCACAAAATTACAATGTATAGAAAGAAAAAAAAAAAGTAATTGCCCAAAAGAAAATTATATATAAAAAAAATATAGAAACTAGATATAAAATATAATATAAAAAATAAATAAATTATAGGATTTTCTAGAAGTGGGATTCACAAACAAATTTTTGTAAAATCTTCTCTATTCATGTATTTTTTGTGTATTTTTTATACTTCTAATCCCGATAATGACATTGAAATAGTTTACACTTCTTGCATTAGATTTATCTAATAGCTTTAGCAAACACATATGTAAATAAATTTCATAATACAAAACACAAACAATTGTGAAACAAAATATCTAAAAAAAACGAAAACAACGTTCAATGATGATGTAGAAGCACACCTGGCGTTTTAATTGGAGATATAACCAAATAAATTGCCATAGAAGGAGAAGACAATATTTATTTTTTATCACAACAATTACATAATTCAATATATAATTTTAATGTCTCTCACTCATCCACACGTCCAATTCTCTATTAATATTAAAATGAATGCATGAACACACACACACAAAATTGAGAAGATAAAGAGAAATGATTTGACACATTTCAATTGTTGAATTCTATTAATTAATAATTGGGTCCTGCTACGTTTCATGAAAACTATCTGCACCATTGGATCATGAGACACATACCTGATCTAACGGTGCAGATGGTTTTCATGACAGTTTTCATGAAAATTCTTCATAACACCTAGCATTTCCCTTAATAATTATTAGGTTTCAATGGTTAAGCTTCTAATATTTATTAGTTATTAAAGCTGAATTCTTTAGTTTCATTTATATTCACTTAATAATTTGAGAGTTGACACGTGTCAAGCTTTTACACAAACACTTGGCACATTTTTTGAGTATTATTAATGAAGTGCACTGTTTTTTTAATAAGAATTTATATTTATTTTATATATTTTTTTCATATACAAATTATTCTTTTTAGATTTCTTATAAAAATAATTTAATAATCTCATCACTAATCATAGTGTATGAGAGAAGTTAAAAAGTATGGCAATGGACATGAGAGAAGTCAAAAAAGCTTGTGGGTTGGGAGAAGTTAATATATGCTGAGGTTTTTTTTTAATCAAAAAATTAAAAAATTAAGATTGGGATATTGGAACTCTCACAAGGTTTACGGGTTAGAAACCCATTTTTTTTATATAATATATAAATAGATTTGAGAGTGGACATGTGTCAAGCCTTTACACAAACATTTGACATATTTTTTGAGCATTATTAATGAAATACACAGTGTAATTTTTTTCTCAATTGCAACCTGTTATTTTTTAATAAGAATTTATATTTATTTTAGATATTTTTAATATATAATTTTTTTTTAGGGTTTTTATAAAAAATAATTTAATAATCCCATCTGAAAAGTGCGGCAATTGGTATGAGAAAAGTCAAAAAGGTTTATGGGTTTGAAGAAGTCAATAAATGCTGAGATTTTTTTTTAAATCAAAAAATTAAGAAATTAAGATTGGGATATTGGAGCTTCCACAAGGCTTGTGGGTTAGATACCCATTTTCCTTATATGATAGATAGATAGATAGATAGATTTGTAATGGGAGATAGAGATCCGAATTAGGATGGGCCTTCGAGAGACGATTACGAAGGAGACTTGGGACTTGGTATTAGAAAATAGTCCGCTAGACTATTTTTTTTTTTTTAATTTTTTACATGATTGGCATTTTTTTTGAACATTAATGTTTAATTTTTTGTATTTTTTATCGAGTAAAAATCATAATTTTATTTGTTTTATTTTTATTTTATTTTATTTTCTACATGTTGGGCATTTTTTTTTTGAACATTGATTTTTAATGTTTTTATATTTTTTATTTGGTTTATTATGTATATAACAATAATTTAACAATCCCTACACCAATAACTATCATTAAAACAAACACAATTTTACTTAATCCCCTCACTAACAATCCCCTCATTATTAATCTCTTCACTACGAATCTCTTTCATTCTATCTCTGAAAACAAACGAGTCCTACGGAAATTCTACGATAGATGCTTCTTATTATACATATTTTTAATTATATATATATATTAGTTATGATTAATATTTCTTTTAATTATAATGTTATTTTAAAATATTTGATTATGTCTTATGCAATTATTGATTATGATTTTTTTTAATTATAAAGTGCACACCATTTGAATGTCGTGTACTAAAGTTTTTCCTTTATTATTTATTATTATGATTAAATAATATAAAAAAAAATGAAATTTTAATGTATATTTCATATATTTTAACTTATTTTGGAAAATAGGTTAAATTTTTTTTTAAATATGTAAAAAATAGAAAAATAATATGATCCAAAATAAATTAAAAATCAAAAACTAACTTTTAAATTGTCAAAATAGGCCTCTATTGATAAGTGCTTTTTGAACCCAAAAGTAAACTATTTGATATATTATTTTACTAATTTCAAAATTCTTTTTATTAATGGATCTCGATAACAATTATTTTTAGGATAAATCACAAACACACCTTTGAGATTTACTTAAATTACAAATTATTTTCTATGGTTTTAGAAATTACATTATGCTCTTACGATTTCTAATTTCATAACAAATAGGCCATTTTATTAATAAATCATCAAGTTAATTAATAGTTTTTAATAATGTTAAAATTTTATTTTAATTAATAATTTAGATAATTTTATTATTGTATAGGTGAATAGTTAGAAATTGCACTTTTTCAATTAATTTTGTTAAATAAAATTTTTTGACATAGAGGTATTTATAATTTTTTAAATCACAAGAGGCAATTCACATTTCAAACAAACTTCAGAGGTATATTTGTAATTTATCCATATTTTTAAGACACAAAAGAACTTCACAAAAGAACTTTCCAAAATAAAAAAATAAGACATTTGTATTAATTTTGAAATGCTTTTTATTAAAAATTTATTTATTTTACTATTTTTAATTTTTTTACAAAATTTTAATATTAAACAATGCTTCCAAACCACTTGTTAACTATTTTACCATTTTAAAAATAAAAACAATGATTGAGACCCTTTTTTTTTAGGACCCGACAATCCTTTTTGAATCTCAATCATTGATGATGTGAGCTCCACACATACATTAATGGTTAAGATCCAAAGGGGTTGTGGGGGTCCCCAAAAAATGGGTCCCAAGCATTTTTCTAAAAATAATTTTTACACAAGTTTTAATATAATTAAATTAATATTTATCTATTATTATACTTATTTTTATAACTATTTAGGGCAAATTACCTACATCTCCCTTGTAATTTAACGACATTACAGATTTTCCTCTGAGGTTTCAAAAATTACATTTCGTCCCATCGCAATTAATGCCGTTAACGGATATCATAAATTGACTAAAATGCTCTTTTGACAAATAAGGACAAATTACCTATACCACATTGAGGTTTAACTAAATTACAGATTCCTCCTGAGGTTTATTTAAATTACCATTTTTAAATAAGTTATGAAATGGAAAATTAAAATGGAAAAACATTAATCACATTACAAAAAATTAAGGTTTTAGAGACTAAAATTTAGGGGATCAAATATTTTTGTTGCGAAAAGTGTTATTATATTTTTAGCAACGAAAATTAAACATTAGTGATTAATTATTATTTTTTTGGTATCAAATTTTTGTCTCAAAAAATAAACCATTTTGAGACCAAATTATTTTGTCCTTAAAAGTCTATTTATTATT